GTACCTGGTTATTGCAATTACTGAATATGAATGAAGTGTGAAAAATGTCTTTTATTTACAGAGGATAAAAGCCTAAAAAGCGCTTCAGGATATCTAGCTACAGTTATAGTGTTTCATCACATTATAATATTAAATAGTTTAAAATAGCCTCCCCAACACTGTCTGTCTCCTTTTTCTTGTGACTGTCTCTCTCTCACTCCCTCTCTATCTCTATCTATCTTTCTCACACATACTCTTTCCCCTCTATCTCTCTCTCACTCTATCTCTCTCTCACACACTCCCTCTATCTCTCTCTCTCTCTCTCTTTCTCTCTCACACACTCTCTCCCTCTCTCTATGTCTCTCTCTCTCTCTCTCTCTCTTTCTCTCTCACACACTCTCTCCCTCTCTCTATGTCTCTCTCTCTCTCACACTCCCTCGATCTCTCTCTGATGTATTTTTGCCCGCGTCTCCTGTCCGGCTGTGACTCGTCTGATATGTGTAATATGCGCAGATGGCATATTCTCCCGTTCCACCGTCTGCTTGACCAATCAAACGACGGGAGGGGAAACAAACGCACAACTCCTGTTAGACCATTAATGAGATGTCGTGTTTCTTCACTTTGTCATTTGATGATGATGATGATGATGATGATGACCTGTTTTAGGTCATCAGGATCATTTAAATCAATTGTCATGGATAATTCGGGAATCTCACAAAAATGCTAATGAACATGAACACTTCACCCCAAAATAATATTTACTGTGTGTATTTTTAAAGAAATGTTATTATGTTTTGGCATTGTTAAAGAGTGTTAAATGAGAATTAGATAGATAGATAGATAGATAGATAGATAGATAGATAGATAGATAGATAGATAGATAGATAGATAGATAGATAGATAGAGAATAGATAGATAGATAGATAGATAGATAGATAGATAGATAGATAGATAGATAGGACGGACGTACGGACGGACGGATAGATAGATAGATCTATAGATGGATGGATAGATGGATCTATGGATCTATGGATGGATGGATCTATCGATGGATGAATCTATGGATGGATGGATAGATGGGTCTATAGATGGATGGCTGGATCTATGGATGGATGGATAGATGGGTCTATAGATGGATGGATGGATCTATGGATGGATGGATAGATGGGTCTATAGATGGATGGCTGGATCTATGGATGGATGGATAGATGGGTCTATAGATGGATGGATGGATCTATGGATGGATGGATAGATCTATATATGATGGATGGATGAGTCTATGGATGGATGGAAGGATGAATGGATGGATCTATGGATGGATGGATGGATCTATCGATGGATGAATCTATGGATGAATGGAAGGATGAATGGATGGATCTATGGATGGATGGAAGGATGAATGGATGGATCTATGGATGGATGGATGGATCTATCGATGGATGAATCTATGGATGAATGGATAGATGGGTCTATAGATGGATGGATAGATGGGTCTATAGATGGATGGATGGATCTATGGATGGATGGATAGATCTATAGATGGATGGATGGATGAATCTATGGATGGATGGATGGATCTATCGGTGGATGGATGGATGGATAGATAGATGGATAGATAGATGGATGGATGGATAGATGGATGGGTCTATAGATGGATGGATGGATGAATGGATGGATGGATAGATGGATCTATGGTTGGATGAATCTATAGATGGATGGATTGATCTATGGATTGATCTATCGATGGATGAATCTATGGATGGATGGATGGATGGATGGATGGATGGATGGATGGATGGATGGGTCTATAGATGGATGGATCTATGGATGGATGGATGGATAGATGGATGGATGGATCTATAGATAGATAGATAATAAAGCTAAATAAAATATTCCTAAAATGTAAAAAAGGGTGATTAATCATGAATGTATACTGGTCTCGTTCACAGACACTCCTGAAGTCTGGGATTCATCTGTGCATGTCATTTCCCAAAGATGATCCTTTCAAGAACAATCATGTGGACACACACACTCATCAACATTTCAAGACGCTGGTGTTTCTGACTCCGTGTCTAAAGGGAAGTGTTTTCTCACACCCTGACCTTTGACCTGGATCCCTTCACAAGCGGAGTAAGTGTGAACGAGAGAAAACAGACGCTCATGGACTCTCTTTTCTAATACTAGTTTTGTTTCTGAACTCAAACCTCATCTGGTGTAACAGTCGCTTGTGTTGTACAGGTGTAAAGCGTGCTGTTTGAAACACTGGGAAACAACGCAGCACTTTACAGGTTTAAAGTCAATATGAAATCATGTTTGTCTGCATAATCTTTAATTGGACAACTTGCTATGAAAACGACTTTGTTAGCCAATCGCCAAATAATTATTCAGTCATTGTTTATGGCTGCAGTAATTCATCCTTTCTTAAAATCTAGTCAGTGTTTAATGCAGTTATTCAACGCTGGTTAACAATGAGGTCAAACATTTTCAAATAAGGATTTCTCTTGATATTCATGTTGACTTTCAAACTGGGTAAATGTGGCACAAGTGCGACAGCATCAATGTCAGGCGTCATGTTCACTGTGACTGTAATACACGTCTTTAATAGTTCAGATTCAGAAGGCAGGGGACACTCTCTCAAAGTCAAAGTAGCGTTTATAGAACGTGTGTTCAAAGTCATCTGCTCTTTAATAATGTCATCAAAACATTATATATGCATCGTTCTCGCAGTGTTTTTTCTGGAACGTTTAGTTGGACGTTTTACTAACATTTTTTAAATGTAACTACTTGGTTTAGAATGTTCAGAGAAGTAACATTCCAAATGGAATCTTCCCCTTCATACTGTTACATCGCTGTCACATGACCGTCACATGACCTCAAACAATGATTTTCAGTTCGAATATTTAACATTCTTAAAATCAAGATACGTTTTTAAAGCTACTCTGTTTTCCTGAATTAAGGAGTTAATTATCTCAGAATTACGAGATAATTTTTCATGGAAAAAGGGTTTTTGCTATGTTTTTCTGAATTAACGAGTTAATTATCTCATATATTTTCTTGAAAAACATTTTTTTCTCTGTTTTATTGATTAATTAGTTGCTCATAATTTTTGAGATAATCAAGTCATTAATTCAGAAAAACGGAGCAAAAACTTTTTTCCATGAAAAATGATCTCGTGAAAAAAGATAAAAGTTAAAACGTTTTAACTTTTGACAGTGAAGAGGATATGAAGAGTTCAGATGCAAAAGCCTCTAAATGCCATTTGAAATTTTCTTCTTTAATGATGATTTTTATCGAACTTGTATATTTAAGTTCAGTAATTTCACTTATATGACAATGATAATTACCTATTATTTGTTATTTAAGTGAAATTACTGAACTTAAATATACAAGTTTGATAAAAATCATCATTAAAGAAGAAAATTTCAAATGGCATTTAGAGGCTTTTGCATCTGAACTCTTCATATATTAAAATCATGGTTGATATGATTTTCTTTCATGCATCACACTGTAAATTGAAGGTCAAGTTGAGTGCATTGCATCGTGGAATCGAGTATTCACAGATATGCAATAAATTCTGTGCACAAATATGCATCAATGTAGAAATAGTTCAAGTAGTTTGATTCTCTGAACACAGGTGAAGTGTAATCTAGTGAGCCGTGTACATAGACCGTCTTCCAACACCAACGTCCCGTTATGACATCACGAGAGGCGGAGCTTGTTATCATAATGCATTATGGGTACTTATGGGTTATATATCAGATACAGAGTTCTTCTAATAATAACACTTTACAATAACTCTCCATTTGTTGACACACTCTAAAAAATGCTAGTGTGTTTTAACCCAAAATTGGGTCAAATATGGACAAACCCAAATGTTGGGTTAAAAAATGCAATTTCAAATTTTAACTTTCACTTTCAACTGCACATTTTTTATTACATTTTTAACCCAACATTTGGGTTTGTCCATATTTGACCCAACTTTGGGTTGAAATAACCCAGCATTTTTTATAAATGTATTGTAGCTCGAGTGACTAATTTCACAACGACAATAAAGGAATTGTTATTTTATTAAGCAAATTCATTGACCAATCAGCATGCAGAATGTAGGAGAGCTCATGGGATAATTTCATCCACATTATTGTATAATGTACATGATCAGACTGTTTAACAGTGTATGTGTGTAAATAAGTTGCTAACATTGATGATGTGATGACTAATAAAAGGTCAATATAACTGTCAAGCCTTGTATTATTTCCCGTTGCATTACTCTCAGGCCAGATGTAGACGAGCAGGATTTGGTTTGTTGTATCGGACATTCACTCTGTTCTGAGCTGTTCATGGGTCAGGAATGAGGCGAGTGACTCATTTTACATCTGATATCTGAATGTCAGAAACACAACAAACGTAACCTGAGCTGACTGTTGCCCATCCATGCTGGGACAACTCATACCTTTGACCTATAAACACGTCTATCGGCTTCTCCCGTTCATCCCGATTCATGCTGACGTGTAGAAAGTACACACAATTAGTAAAATAAATGGGTATTTTGTCAAAGCATATAACTAAAACACTATTGGTTACAACATTTGTTACAGTATTTCTTAATCTTAATATAAATTCAGCTGTTCATTCATGTTAGCTCAAGGTAACACTTTATTTTTAGGTGACCTAATTACATGTTACTACTTTTATAGTATACAGTAAATTATGCATAATTACAAGTAACTAACACCTTAACTCTATCGTGCAATTTTCAGTAGTCATCTTAACATTAAGTGTAACCAGATCCATAAAAAAATATGAACAGATTTTGATTTCAATGTCAGTAAATGTTGAAATCCGCATGATGAACTAAGATTAATAAATGCTTTGAAGTATTTTTCATTTAGAAGTGTAACCCAAGTTTCCATATTTAACTGCATTGTAATATGTATTTCTTAGCTTTCATATAGATTATATATATACACTCTAACAAAAATGCTGGGTTTGTTTAACCCAAATTTGGGTCAAATATGGACAAACCCAAATGTTTGGTTAAAAATGTGATTAAAAAAAAAGAAAAGTGAAATTTAAAATTGGGTTCAAATTTTTAATTAAATTTAACCCAACATTTGGGTTTGTCCATATTTGACCCAAATTTTGGTTAAAACAACCCAGCATTGTTTAGAGTATATGATGATATGAGATATATATATATATATATATATATATATATATATGAAGAGTTCAGATGCAAAAGCCTCTAAGTGCCATTTGAAATTTTCTTCTAGAATGATCATTTTTATCAAGCTTGTATATTTAAGTTCAGTAATTTCACTTAAATGGCAATGATAATTACCTATTAATTGTTATTTAAGTGAAATTACTGAACTTAAATATACAAGTTTGATAAAAATCATCATTAAAGAAGAAAACTTCAAATGGCATTTAGAGGCTTTTGCATCTGAACTCTTCATATATTTAAATATGTACTTTGAAGGTCTAATTAAATAACAGTAAAAAGCATGATTTTTGCATTGGAAATATAATTAAAGTAAGCTACTTAGTTTCACTAGTACTTAAAACTTAAAATATACACACTCTTGATATATATACCGCTAAATGTGGGATTATTTACACTTTTACATGTTTGTTTACTGACATAAAAGGAAACTCGTGTGACTCGTGTGTCTTTTATTGAATCATAAAACCAAAGGTTCAATGTGTTTTTATAGCTCAGGAGTGTCGGTATAGTACTCCTCAATGTCAGATGATTAGAAATGACTGAAAAATGAAAGATCAAACAGTATGTTAGAATATTAACAATGCAGTAGTCATAAAAGGAAGTGAAATGTATATGGACTCTGAACATGAATTAGTTTTATTAAGGTACCAAACCACGTCTTCCTTAAGGATATGTGCTGCATTTGGCTAAATAATGTCTTGCATTTTAATGCTGTCTAGGTCAGGTTAGGAACAGAGCTCTTGCCATTGGCTATTTGCTGTTAAAATGATGGTCTGGTATTTATGTGTGTTGCGTCAGAAGCATCTGTAGCGTGATGAATGGTCACACATCATGCCAAATATAGCGTTACTGAGAGCTTTCACCTCACGCCGGGAGAAGTTCCCTTACGCCGTGCCAAGAAGACACGTCCAGTAATTGGAAACATTTAATCAGGATGGTCAAGAATCATCAGAGGATATGTGCTCTGATACCACGCGCCTGTCTTGTCTTTATTTAACATTTGGCTCTGTGATCTGATCTCACTTCCATTCGTGTGGAGTCTGTGTGTGTGACCATAATGATTAACAAGCATAACTAAATGCACACTGGCAAACATACATCAATCATAAGTGGCTCTAACATACAGTCGTTGTTGAAATTGTGTGTGGGATTCTGGTTCCTGAAATATAAGGCAGAAATGATCTGAAACGATGAGCACAAAGACAAAAGTACATATTGAAGACATGAGGACAAATTCAAAGAACACCTTTATTTTAAATAATGACATCACCATAAATAGTAGCCTATTAAAATGATAATAATAATGGTTGTGTGAGCTTGGGTTACATAGTATATTTAAAAAATTGTGATAAACAGTGATAAAAATGATCAATATTCAGCGTAATTGTGTTTACTGTGTTCTTTATTTTAGTCGTAGTCTGTTTAATAATAGCAACTTGACTGCATTGATTATGGTATTTAACAGTATGCATCATTTTTAGGCAATTCCTAAGCCTATTGATGGAAAACATTGTGTTTTCCACTACTGTACCATAGTTACTATATATTTAATAGGCTATCATAGTATAAAGTATAATATAATGTGGTTATACAACGGCTAACTAACACTGTAAACACTGTTTTTATTATTAAATTGTGACCACTGTAACCACAAGAAATGGGTCAACGATGTCAACCTGTGAAGTAACAAATGAAATCATTTAAAACTATGATAAATCGCTGTAAAATCTGTATGTTAGAATTGTCAGTTAATGGTTCGTCGTGTAAATGAAGTGTTTACCTGCGTATATTCGCGTCATATAGTGTTGGTCATGTGTTAAACACATGATTTTGTGGTATATTTCCACTCTTTAATTGGCCCTCGTGGCCGCGCAGCGCGCGCGCAAAATGCTGACGAAGAGCAACAGGTGCGCCAATGGAACGGTGACAGTATGCAAATGAGCAAAACGACTCAATCGCTGATTGGTTCCCAGAGGGCGGCCTGACCGACGTCTCCGTGACGCAAAGCCCGGCCGCCTATATGAATAAGGCGAAAGCCTAGTCCATCAATGAAATAGTAAAGAGAGGGAGATTCTGGGAGAGAGAGAGAGGGAAGAAGGCGATAGATTGAAAGCATTCCCGACCGCATTAAAGGAAGCGATTCCTTTGCTAGTGTCCTACCGCGAAGACCAAGATCAACAAGGATCAGAATGAAGTTTATTATTGGAATTGGGGGGTGAGTAGGCTATAATCCATATTGAACATCTATTGTATATGATCTCATCGTTTAATAATGTCTCTATTACAGTGTGACCAATGGAGGCAAGACAACTTTGACGGGAAGACTCATAAAGAACTTACCGAACTGTTGTGTGGTGCATCAAGATGATTTTTTCAAGGTATTGATCGATTCCACGACACTTTGTTAAATTACTCTTATCATATAGGCTATACTGTGGCCCCTTGAAATATTTGGACATTTATGCATTATATTTAAGACAATATTGCATTGTCACCATATCATCTAATGCAATTCATTTCATGCATTATAATTTTGATGAGTGTCCAAATACTTCATACTTGTCTAGAATATAGAGCTATAGGGATGGAAACGTTAGTCATGTAGCCTAGGGCTTAATCATATATTGTATTTGTGGTCCATGTGGTTCATGGACCCTATGCTGGTGTTCTCCTGGACAGCCAACCTCAAAGACAACAAATGAATGCCGTTTGTGGTGCCTAACATGCTGTAGAGTCTCACAGGCATTCATTTGCAGCCTTAAACCCCACTAATATGATCCTCTTGCTCATGCATTTATCATTCTAGTGCATGTAAGAGGATCTGGCAACCATCACACTAGCGCCCTTATCAATATCTTTTATAACACCTCTTGAGTGCATCACACACACATTTCTAACTGTCATTGGAGGCGCATTGCAACATGCTTATAAAGATAATTCAATCCAACAAACCAAATTGTTAATTCTACCCCCTCACCCAATTGAAATTGAACTTGATTTTAGAAGACTATAGCCTGAGTGCTTGGCGTCACATGTCCAGGTGGGACCAGCACTGCCTGAGCCATCTACACCTTTTTGTTTTATTGGTCACTGTTATTGCAGCCCCAAGATCAAATAGAGTTCGGGGAGGACGGCTTTAGACAATGGGATGGTAAGAGTGGCTTTCGCTGTGGGAAGAGAAACAGTAATGTATTCCCACCTTTCCATAAACATTCTGATGTTTGCTTTTCTGTAACCTAAACCTAAAACCCAGCAAAACTATTTTTCTTGCATTTGCACGTCAAAAGTTTGGACACACCTGAAAACTTGGTTTTTATAAACTGTGTCTGAGTTTAAAAATAAAAAAACATTGTAGCAGATGCACTCTTAAAAATGAAGGTTCCAAACGGAGTTCCAAAAGATTCCGGATTCCGTAAAGAACCTTTCAGTGAATGTTCTTAAAGGAGTAGTTCACTTTAAAAAAAAAACTTTTGCTGATAATTTACTCACCCCCATGTCATCCAAGATGTCCACTTCTTTCTTTCTTCAGTTGAAAAGAAATTAAGGTTTTTGATGAAAACATTCCAGGATTTTCTCCATATAATGGACTTCAATGGGGACCAAACGGTTCAAGGTCCAAATGAAAGTTTCAGTGCAGCTTCAAAGGGCTTTAAACGACACCAGACGATGAATAAGGGTCTTATCTACGAAACAATCCGTCATTTAAAAAAAACAACAACAAAGTTTAAGTTTTATAAGCTCAAATGGTCGCCTTGTTTTGTTCTGTGATGCACATTCATGACTCTCCTGTTCGAACTCGTTCATCAAAATGAACAAATCTTTTTTCGTGTCATTTGGTCCATTCAACTAACTAACTAAATGAAGGAGTTGACTCTGGGACGAGATTTGTTCATTTTGATGACTGTTTGATGAGTCATGATCTTGCATCACAGAACAGAGCAAGGTGACCATTTGAGCTTATAAAACAAAACAAAATTTTTTTTTTTTTAAATGACCGATTGTTTCGCTTGATAAGACCCTTATTCATCGTCTGGTGTCGTTTAAAGCCCTTTGAAGCTGCACTGAAACTCTCGTTTGGACCCCATTGAAGTCCATTATATAGAGAAAATCCTGGAATGTTTTCATCTAAAACCTTCATTTCTTTTCGACTGAAGAAAGAAAGACATGGACATCTTGGATGACATGGGGGTGAGTAAATTATCAGCTAAAGTTTTTTTTTTTTTAAGCAAACTACTCCTTTAACAGAACCATTTTGTTATTTGGAGTGAATAACACTTTTCCATATAAAGAACCTTTTGTGCATTGAAAAGTTTACAAGTTATCTATGGAAGAGCCTTTATTTTTACGAGTGTAGTGCTACACTTCACTAAGAGCCAGATTTACTAAACGGGGCAAAATTTTGAAAGTTCATTTATATTAATTTCCATAATGACCAACAAAATCTACCAAGAGTACCACAAATGAGCGTCTGGTTCAAGACGTGCTTTTTTTTTTTTTTTGTGGTATTAAATTGCCCAAATACCAGTAACTTGACTAGAGCAAACCTTAAATCATCTGGGTGTTCATTTAAATTCCCCCTCATAAAGGGAAACTCCTACTGTGCGATTAATATCAGCCACAAAAATAGCCTTTTCAGCGCTCTTGTCTTTCATAAATCCTGACGGTAGCTGTTATTAAATCTGGCCTTAAGTGTTTAAAAGCACGTCATGAATGTCCAAAATAATCAGAACTGGAATTTAGACCTTTTTATTATTATTATTATTTTAAATAAGTGTGTCCAAACCTTAGACTGCTAGTGTAAATTTGACTGACAGTGTTCTGATTAATGATTAACATCCCTAAAAAAGGAGAAGGGACAATTTTAAAGAGAACATTTTCAATGCATTGCTTGAATGTTTCCAGTATCCTTGCGTGTGAGACACGTCTTGTGTTTTCTGTCTCCTTGTGCAGTGATGTCGGCGCTGGACATGGATGCGATGGTGAGCACTGTTAAGGGATGGATGGAGAACCCGGTGAAGTTCGCTCGCTCTCATGGCGTGAGCGTTTCCGGCACGAACGACTCGGACCCGGAGCGCGAGATCCACATACTCATCATAGAGGGATTTCTTCTCTATAACTACAAGTATGTGTTTCTGATTGGCTTGATTAACATTAAGATGTGACCGTGAGGTTTGATGGATTGCTTGTTTCTGCATCCAGGCCTTTGCTCGACGTCTACAACAAGAGCTACTACGTCACCATTCCATACGAGGAGTGCAAAAGGAGAAGGAGGTGAGTTGTCATTGATGTTCGCAGATGGTTTGGTCTGATTTTAATTTTTTCTAACAAATCTTTCTCTCTTTCAGTACAAGAAGTTACACCGTTCCTGACCCTCCTGGTCTGTTTGATGGCCATGTGTGGCCTATGTACTTGAAACACAGGATAGAGATGGAGAACAACAGCATAGATATCCGTGAGTCTTACTGGATACACACTGCCTTATTAGTTAGTAGGCTATTCTTGTTTCCAGTCCAAATATCTAAAAATTATATCAATATTCAAGTAGTATATGTAAAACTTCCTTGTGTTCTGAAAAAATAAGTTTTTTTTTTCTCGCTTAAAACAAGCAATTATCTATCAATGGGTTGAGAAATAATCTTAATTCAAATGGAAAACTATATACCTAGATTTAGATATTTCTAAATCCATTGGCTGATCATTTTGCTCATTTTAAGTAACAACAAAAAAAATCCTTTTAATAATTTATATTAATAATAATACATTTTTTTAAAATATTTTTTTTCCTAGCAAATGCATTCTTAATTTTAAGAATTTTTAGATATTTGGAATGGAAAAACTACTTAGAAACGCATTTTTGCAGTGCAAGTGGTCACAAAGCCTGTCATGTGTAAGTCTCATGATCTGTGTCTGCAGAATATCTGGATGGAATGAGATCTAAAGAGGAGCTGTATAACCAGGTTTATGAAGACATCCAGAACTCGCTGCTGAATGCCTTATAGGTACGAATCTACATCTGTTCATATACATACCTCATTATGAAGATGTTTTTCTCATGGTTGTTTTCTTCTTTCTCTCTGCAGCATCTACAGAATGAAGATGTGTGTGTATAGAACTGTAAATAGCATCGTACTGTATGAAGATATGGCTTCTGCCACTAGATGACTTTTGTAAATAACATAATGAAGTACTAACTTGTTTGGCGAGAGCCGGTTATTTTATATTGCTGTATTTATGGAACTTGTTTTATTAAAAATATGTGTTGCTCTCTGGGTTGTCCAGAGATGAACGGTGTATGAATGTGTTTTCATTTCTGTAAACTCTTAAATCTCTTCAGTTACAATGTCCTGACTGCAAAATATAAGGGCTATACAATATTTATTGCAATCATTAAATGCAAAATGATGAAATAAAAAAATTCAACACCGTATTTCATGATTTATTCATTTAATTTTAAAGCTTAATATGCAGGGTTGAGTGTAATGCATGACTGAGTAATTACTGTAATTGAATTAATTTTAAAGTAAGGGATTACTCTTAATTTCTAATTGAATTATGTTTACTTCTGATGTAGTTGCACTTAACACTGTATAGACTAACAATTTTAAAACTGGATTTAGAATCTATTTTATGGTTACTGTTAAAATGTTTTTTTTAATGTAACCTAAATACGTCAGTTTAAGAATTCATGCAATTTTATTTTTGAAAAAAAAGTCTAATTTTCATGTCTATTGTGTTAAACTGGATGAAGTTGGTATAAAATTTTGAAAGTAATTATTAATAGAATACTTTTTCGTGATAACTTTTTAGCACAGTAATCTAATTGCATTGTTAAATATGTATTTAGTAGCTAAATAACTTTTATTAGAGTAACTTACCCAACACTATACTAATATGTCAGTGTATTTTAATTTTATTTGATAGTTTCATGATATGTTTATATAATTGGCTCACTGTCTATTACATCAAAAATTGCTCAGGTAAATTATTTTACAGTTTTCCAGCAATGTTGGTCTGGTTTTATGTTTATTCAAACATTTGTTAAAAGTCAATGCCAAAGCAAACACATAACAGACACTCAAACACAAGGTCACACTGTCAATGCTTATTTTATTGATTTTACTTTCAGTGCACACATCAGGAACATTCATTGTTTTATGAGCATCAAGTATTTAGACTGGCTTAATGATATGTGATCATACATTAAACAATAAAGCAGAACGTCAACAATAATGATAATGATAATGTTTAAATGTGAATAAAAGCCTAAATTCAATCTGTTCACCATATAGGCAACAGTGATCGAGTCTCTTCAGAAAATTTGGACTATTACGATCTCTTTATGAACTTTTTGAAGCGTCAAAGGGGTAGTTAAGTAGATGTCACTGGAGCGACAGAAAACTCTCAGATTTCATAAAACAGATCATAATTTGTGTTCTGAAGATGAACGAAAGTCTTTTAAATGATGTGAGGGTGAGAAATTAATGAGTGATTTTTTATTTTTGGGTGTACTGTCCCTTTAAGATGTTTGTTTACTTAATCACTTAGTCATTTTCAAACGATTTAATATCTCTGCCGTCTACTCCAATTACAACAAATATATGTTACATCTAATCAATAAAACTTACAAAAAGTTTTCCTACACATGATGCAAATCAAGGCACGAGTTCCTGGACCTGAGGAATGATGATGGGATACGCTCGTCGGAGATAGTGTGGATTTAGTGTGAGTTGACACTGTTTGCTTTGACATTAACGTTATTCAGACAGACCTGTCTTGCACACCTAGTTAATAGAATGTCATTTTTGTAAATGTCAGTCACAAAGTAAGTATTTATTTAAAATAAATACTTATACTCGAGAGTGTTTCGCTGTCGAGTCGTGAATTTGGAAATATCGCAAAAAAAAAAAACTAATGCTAACGCTATCCGCATTGCTAATGCTAATGATGATTAGATTTGTGTTCATTTTTCAGTGTTATTTAGCAATATTAAGGTAAACGAGCTTATAGACAACACATTAACAAATTATTCACAAAATTAATGACTTTTTTTTTCATGACTTCTAAAATTATTCATAAATAGGCGACAAGTTGTTCGTTTTCAATTCAGAAGAAGTAGAAGGTCACCCATTAGCCAAGGTTTGTCTCATTTAAACATTTAAAAAGATGATTATTATTTTAAAAAAATGTATCAAAATTAAAAGAAAAAAATAAACATAATTCAACGGGGAAACGATTAATTTTCTGACTAACAGATATTTTTTTTCTTGTTTTAGGCATAAACTCACTTAATTTGTGAATAAATCAGAGAAAACTTATCTAATGTCGTTATTTGTACTGGAAAACAAGTCAAAAATAAGTTTTTTTTGTGACACTATTTTAAGGTGTCATTGTTACAGTGTGATTATATATTTAAGTACAGAGTAATGATAATTAACAACAGGCAATTAAGGGTTAGGATTAGGGTTTTGGTTGAGAATTTTTGCATAATTTACTACATGTAACATATGTAAAAAAAAAAAAAGGACACTGTTAAAAATGAAGTGTTACCCATTTTTTACAGTATAAAATTAATTTGTAGAAATGGACATAAATGAGTCAATTGTTCCCATGTACATTTATGCACCAGATTATTTGCTCCTGGGCGAATTGTATGAGAAGTGTTTGACTTTTAAATGCAAATCTGAGCCAACGTTGAGCTCTTTTCTGAGGATAACAGATCATTTTGTCATACTAATACTCTGCTTGCTGTGCATTTCTCAGTCCTGCATGCTGTCGTTGCATGTGTGCGCTGATATATTTAGGCTGCATGCCTTCAGTGTCAGAGAGGAGATGTGATATTGAAATAGAAATGCTTGCTCTGTACTTGAACCGGTTCGGCCCCCCGACCCCGAGACCACGAGGTGAGAACGACTCCAACATCACAATAACTCAGAGTTATTACATTTCACTGGTTTTGTCCGTCCTTCTGTTAGACTCTAACACATGAATTATGTTGAATATCTGTCAGCTGTTAAATATAACTACACAATTAGATAATACCAGTTTAGCTCAAACAACCACCAAACATGTTGTTCAGTCTGTGTGTAAAGGTCACATTAGCAATTAAAGGTCAAACACTATATCAAACACGGTCAGGTCAAAGTGCCGGAATACATTTTCATACATTTTACTAGTCACTGTATGGGTAGTATGTCACAGTTTACTTTATTTTGCTCTCCTCACTTACATAATGAACTATAGCCCTGCACACACTGGTAAAAAATATTGAAAATGATGGTGTCTGACCAATTTTTGGTTTGACTGCAATGTGTGAGACTCATTGTGAGCATGTGTTGTCGTCACACACACCCTCATGACTGAGATAGTTGAAGAGCCGTCGGCAGCTGTAGATGTGCGAGGGACGCGGCACTCATATGTCAGATGACAGACTCATATCTTGTGTTATTAATAGAGACTGACACTTTCAAACAATGAAAATGTCATTTTATTATTTTATGTTGAGTTTTTTGGGGGGATTAAGAGTTACTAGCATTAGCATTCTTGTTCAGATTTTATTTAAAGGTTTAGTGGAAATAATAATATTTTTATATTAAATTCTGTCTAAATGTATAAACTTAAATCTGAACCATAAGAATAATGTAGTTATGTAGTGTGTGTGTTATTATTTACAGCATTATGACTCAGTTTGTTTTTTTTTTATGCAAATAGCAATGAAATATTGTAAATACATTCACTAAAATAAATACTTTATAGAACTTATGTAAATTATTAGAGTTATGCTGTATACCTTTACATACATTTCTAATTATAAATAGGCAAATGCTGCACATTATCATAAAAATAAATATTTTTTTCCCCTGGATTATTAGAAGGAAATTAGCATTTGCATTTTTGTGCAGAGTTTATATCAGAGTTTATAGAAATTATCTTTAATCTTTATGTATTATAATGAATTATAAATAGGCAAATGTTTAATTACAGGTCACTACAAATTAAAGGTCACTATACATAGCAATTGCTTTTTAACGATTAAATCTGGCTTTTAGTCATATAATTTAGATTAATCAATTTGTATGATTTTGATATTATTTATGTAATTATTATACCCTTAAACGATCACAAATGTTCAATTGTAGTTCATCAATTATGATTACGCAGATTTTAAATGAATAAATAAATATATAAAGGTAATGTAAATATGCTTTAGGATCGATAGATAGCTATAAAATGACTACTTGCGAGCTTAAATGTTCATATAAACTAACTTCACAACTTTTATTTGCGCTGATATACAGTAGCGAGACTTTTTCTTGTCCTCTTTCAGAGACCGCTGTTTTCTTCTTGCTGTGTAAATTTGTTTAAATGTTTAATACATTTTAGGGCTGGGCAACGATTAATCGCGATTAATCGCATCCAAAATAAAAGTTTGTGTTTTCATAATATATGTGTGTGTGTACTGTGTATAATTATTTTGTATATAAAAATTCACACACATGCATGTATATATTTAAGAAAAATGTTTTATTAATATATAAAATATTAATATTTATATTTAATATAAATTATGTATAAATATACAAACAAATATTTCTTGAATATTTACATGCATGTGTGTGTATTTACATATACAAAATAATTATACACACTACACACACACATATATTATGTAAACACAAACTTTTATTTTGGATATAAAAGCTCTTGCCCGTTGCCCAGCCCTAATTTTAATACTTTTATGTAATAATACTGAATCGCGCTGCTTCTCTCGCGATCGCAGTCTCACTCTTTCTCAGCATGTGATTGGCTGTTCGCTCCTGACGTCACACCTAAACTCAAGATCATAGCCTGATTTGACAGAGAAAGTTGATGATCAGCATCATGGTACCAACAAAGTCTGGTTGGATTGGTTTGGTTTTGTCAACTAGCCAATCAACATGGCACAGGCCCCGCTTAATCAAACTGAACGGCCAGGCTGGTTTACCAACAGGACAAACTACAAGTCAGTTGATATTTACCAGTCTGAACCAGTTGGCAATTCACACAAGGTTTCTTTTCCCAGCCGACACAGAACATATGCGCCTATTCTAGCTGGACAGCAGTCTGTTTAATTTTAGATAGGCGTCTCAGCTGGCAGAACACGTGACCACCGACATATGCATCTCTATAACGCTTGACGCATTTACATCCATGCATTTGGCAGACGCTTTTATCCAAAGCGACTTACATTGCATTTCAAGCTCTACATTTACATTCCTATCAGTTCGTGCTTTCCCTGGTAATCGAACCCGTGACCTTAACATTCGCACATCCCATGTTCAGTTAGGGAATATATGCGCATCGACCTATGTGGGTGTTGAAATTCAGGAAACAAGTGTCAGCGGGAATTTCGCTCATATGCGAGCTTTTGGTAACACGAGAGCGCAATGACACGTATCCTAATATCATCGTGCAATCATAAAACACGATATCAACAAAGTCAGTAAATCAGTAACTATGTTTTTATGACTAGTATAAGATAAAAAAGAATGAATGCCTTATTACAAAATAGTATCAAAGGGTAGTTGGGACCCAGTTGGGACAGTTGTGTAGGCTATTACTCTAGTTAAATTATATTTAAATTCCCATACACGATTAAAATGAATCTAGAAGACATAGACTATCTATCGAAATTACATTTCGTACAAATTAAGTTTTAGTTGATCATTTTCTCAGCGCGTAATCCTGGTGCGCATTTGGAGACGCGCGCTTTACGCACACATCTGCTACTACAAAATGAGACAAATAAACATTTTTTTTCATTGAATTATAGATCAGTATTGATGTATAGCTATCCATTCTGACGGTCCGCGTCCACTTTTGTCCCAAGCAAGTAATATATTCCACGATCCACAAGCCCAAGAGCTGATGGAAAGCTCTTGAAAGGCAAAAATGCATTTTCCTCACCTGTTTCCAGAAGTAAATTAAAGGTGACCTTCAGCCCTTATTTTAGGCACTATCATTTAGATGGAAATTCCTTGAAGAATAATGTTTCTGTACGTGGCGTCAGATATATTCCAAAGTTTTGGGGGATCTTGTGCTCAAACCATTAAAGACCATCTTCGTAAAATCACACAAAGGTGAGTGCAGCTCTGGACACCTAGATTTACGAATGAAATAATTTCAAAAGCGTAGCAGCATTAGTTTGATGTCGGGAGGAAACACGGGGAAGATTTTATTCAACAAACCCAACAACCAGGAGCGCCAAAGACACTGAGATTTTATTTGCTATTATTCACTCGCTTACATACAATGTCCAAAGCCTGGTGGAAAGCATCGCTTCTGCTTGTGATTTGTTTTACACATTTTGCACCTTTAGACACACAAGTAAAGACTCAATGTAATGTTTGATACTTACTGTAGTCTAAACTGTATCTTAGTAGCCTATCTTCCGCTGAGGGGAGTGTGAGTGTCTGTTGCTGCGGTGGGTCTCGCGCTCTTATGGAGGTTGTGTCAGGGGTGTTTCCACATCTCATCTCGTCTATTTCTGGTTGTAGTGTCACGTTACTCTCGGCAGCTCTCGCCATATTTGGCATTATTAGTTCGGCGACTGCCCAGCTGGCATTTTAACGTCGCAGGTGCCATTGGGTAATCGTTGAATTTTGAGGTTGTAGCCTACAAATAATGTTGATTTGACGTATACATCTAAAACATTGTTGATATTTCTATGTTGAATCCAGAGTTAAAGGAGAACTCCGATGCAAAATGAACCTTTGGTCTGATAACACATCGGTACCTACATCGGTTTCTTTTTTTTAATTTTTAATTTTAATTTTTTTTTTATTGAACAATAAGAACAAAACAAGAATAGAATATACATATACAGTGGCATTGACAAATACAGGTAAATGAGTAAGCAAGGCACATATCACTTAAGGTAAAAATAAATAAATAAAAATAATTACAATGAAGAAAAAAAAACATAAAAAAATAAATAAAATAATAGTAATAATAAATTACAAAGGGGTCACTTTATTCCTCTTTTAAAAGCTCAAGGTCTCTTATAATTCCAGTCAATTTCTGGGCCTTTTTACTTTTCATGCATTCCAAAGCTGGAAAAAAATTGCAAATCAAGTCTTTTTTTAAATACAGAGAAATAAGGTTTCGTTTTCATACATTTGGATTTATGAATAAAAAATGTTCCCAGTATCAACATTCAGCCCATTCTCACTCCCAAGGCGTCACCTAACTGACGCCTTGGGAAGCATTTGGACATGCTTCAATATCTGACGCTTTAGGCGCCCTTAGCGTCATGACGCCCTAGGATCGCGTGTACCCTACCCCCACCCCACACCTAAACCTAACCGCGTCCTCTAACAGACGCTTTCCTTTAGCGTCAGTTAGATGACGCCGTAGGATCGCGTCATGTAAGTGACGCTAAAGGGCGCATAAAACGTCAAATATTGAAGCATGGTCAAAGGTGACGCCTTGGGGTGAGAATGCGTTGAAGAAATTTGTTTCTTTTCTCGTTCAATAGCATTCCAAACATAATATGTTTTGTGGCAAAAGTTGAATCTTTGATTCCAACCAATAAGACATATTTTCCCAAAAAGTATTTGAAGAAACACAAGAAAAAAAAAAGATGATCAGTTGTCTCTATGTCAACTTCACAAAAAGTACAGGCATTTTCTTCAAAATTAAACCGTTGTCTTAAGAATTCACTAGAAGGGTATACTCCATTGAATATTTTAAAATGAGTTTCCTTAGCTTTAGGAGCACCTACATCGGTTTCATGATAATGAAGAGTTTTATCTCTAAAATGGTGTTAGAGATAAAACTCAGGTGTTGAAAATTAGCATGTATGCTATAATCACTAAAAACAAATGCATATGGCTCGTCCAATGTAATTGTATGTCAATGTCAAATAAAGATATAAATAAAAAAATAAAATCTGTTTAGCGTATAATTCTAGTACTGGGGGCATTTAGGCTAGTACTAGTAAAAAGAAATCGCTTTATACCACTAACAAGGCTCAAAATAGCCTAACACTTACACAGTGACATAATGAGTGTCCCTACATGCAAAACTAAGCTTTGAGAACTTTGTAAGTGTACAGACCGTTTACTTTATAAAGACAGTACACTTCGTGTATACAGGCGGCGCCATCTTTGGAAAACAATCACAACAAGTCAAACCACAAACGACGTGCTGAGTGATCTGTATGAAGTTCAGTGAACTTACACTTACTGTAATTTGCACTGTCCCTGCTAAATAAATTAATAAAATAAAAACAGAAATTTGCCACAAAAAAAAATGTTCATTGAACGTCTGAACTGTATAAACGGCGTTCGGGGATCGACTTTTGACATTTGTGGAAAATACTTGTCTTGAAAACACAGTTTTCTCAGTGTTTTCTTCTCAATGCTTGTCCATGTGTTGCTGGTGCAGTCAGTGGTTAGAATCCAACATCCAAAACCACTGCTAGAGAAATGAACTGTCTTTGGAGGGTTTGATGAAATTTACTCTACATCTGTTAGTGCACACTGCCATCCTGTGGACATTACAGTGTAGTGCAATGATCAACAGCGCCATAATGAGAGATTTACAAGCCAATATACAGGTGAAAGGCGGAAAAATTAGAATATCGTGCAAAAGTTCATTTAATTCAGTAATTTAACTTAAAAGGTGAAACTAATAGGCCTATATTAGATTTGGGGTTTTGATAAGCTGTAAGCCATAATCATCACAATTATAACAAAAAAGGCTTGAAATATCTCACTTTGCATGTAATGAGTCTATATAATAGATTAGTTTCACCTTTTAAGTTGAATTACTGAAATGAAATTTTGCACGATATTCTAATTTTTCGCGTTTTACCTATAAAATGCCGAAAGCAACCCATCAGGTAAAGCATTTTCAACTCATGTGTCTTTTACCAAAAATTCTGAAACCTTTTGTTTATGAAGCAGACTTAAATATAAGAATTCCAGATTTTATCTCAGGTGACATTGATGTGTGTTTTACATGCGTAAATGTATTTGATAAATCATCAAACGTACGCTACTATAGGCCTAACTCACTCCGCAGTGCTTGTTCGGCGAGGAGAGGGTTAAGAGCGAATGTTGCTGACCGTGCATGCGCGCGTGAACTCCCACAGTGTGATCAATGCCTGTCCGCTTCTCTTCTGCCCGGTTTTAGTGGCTCGCGGAAGACTCGGACTATGCCGTTTACGCACTCCAGAGTCCCACATCATCTGTGCTGGGAAACCACATCACTGACTGTACAGTTTTAAAACGTATCTCAAGATGCCAAACTTGATTTTAGTTTTATATTTACTTCAAGGACTGACTCATTTTATCAGCGCGCAAAGTTCCGCGCCCTGGAGGAACCGGATCAAGTGGGTGAATAACGGCCAGGTGTTCAATTTAATGAGCACCGGCTCTGAGTATCACGCACCGGTGCCGTCCAGAAGACAGTCCAGGGTTTATCCGAGCAGAGATGCTTCCCGGGACGGGACCATGCGAATTCGAGTGGAATCGGTTGAGAGACCCGCTATCAGCGTACCGGATAGCAGCACCGCGCTTTTGGGCCCCGACCGCATGCAGTACATAGTGGCCAACAGCCGCGCACCGGGTGCCAGGCAAATGCATGTGCGCCAGAGGCTCAGAACAGCTCCAGGAGGAACCAGAAGTAACGCCACGGTCCTGTCTGAATACTCAGGTGGTGGAGGAGCCCCTGCACAGGGGGGAAATACCGCACGGAGGGCGCCAGTGGTTGCCAATCTCCAACAGCTGGCCGCGCCCACGGAGAATCCAAACACCTTCAATTCGGATTATGGAAATAATGAAGCGGCTCTCCACAGAGCGCAAGCACCAAATGTCCCGGATGAGCAGGGAACAGCGTCTGAAAGTATGGCAGGAGATGATCCACGCAACAGGAATACCGTCTTCTACAACATCTATCCTCCCGGGGGCCGGACGCTCATTCCCCGCAGACCGCCGCCTGGCACCGGGTATGGCACCAGATATTTCCAGAACGGTGAGCTGTGCGTAAAGCACGAATTTAACCTCAACATATGCGTCAATGCGCGGGGTTTGTTTAAATGGCATGTTTTCAGTATAGGTTATGCTTGTGTTGTGCGTGTCTGCAGGTCTTCCGGACCTTGTGCCAGATCCATATTCCATCCAGGCGGGCTCATATATCCAGCGCGTCCAGATGTACGCGCTCCGGTGCGCGTCGGAGGAGAACTGCCTGGCGCGGTGTGTGAATGCACATCATCTTAGGAATTATTATCTGTGTAGACAGCGGGCCCAAAATGTATTTAGATTATAGCCGTTTTGACTTTTAATTATGAATTCTTGATATCAACAATTAAATCTTCACTAGTTAAAATGCTATTTCTTGATATCAGGAATTCGATTTCTACTTGTAACAATGGACATTTTTGATATGAAATTACATTTCTACTTGTAAAAATGTTAACTCTTGATATCAACAATGATGTCATCACTGGCTGAAATAGTTAAAAAAAACTATAATTCTCGATATTTGTAATTGTATTTTCACTAGTTTAAATTCAATGTATATACAAATTCAATTGTTGATATAAAAAATTGATTTCTTACTAGTTGAATTTCCAATTTCACGTATCAGAAATAGTCATTACGCTAAACAATGCCGGGTTGTTTTAACCCAAATTTGGGTCATATATGGACAAACCCAAATGTGGGTTAAAAATGTAATTTAAAATATTCAACTTTCATTTTCAACTGAACATTCTTTAATCACATTTTTAACCCAACTTTGGGGGTTTGTCCATATTTGACCCAAATATGGGTTGTAACAACCCAGCATTTTTTAAAGTGTATAATTTTTATATCAATAATGACGTGGTTACTAGTAAAATGATACATTCCTGATATCTGTAAATGTATGTCAACTTGTTACATTTGTTATTTCTATTATCTGAAAATGTATTTTTGATATCAGTAATTAGGAGAGTAATTTCAGATATCTAAAGTGGCTTTCTTACTAACAACACTGTAAAAAATATTTTCAAGATTTGTTATCACAAAATATTTTCTTTTGTCAAATCAACTTTATAATAATTTATTTAGTTGAGATAACTTATTATTTTGAGTTTCTGATGGTTAAATTAATCGACTTCATTGTATTAACTCACTTTTTCCAGTTCAATCAACTCAAAATTTTAAGGCAACCAAGGTTACTTACTTTTTTAAGTTAAACCAACAATATTTTTTTACAGTGTAGTAATCACAACATTTTTTTTTTGTCAAATCAACTTAAATAATTTATTTAGTTCAGATAACATATAATTTTGAGTTTCTGATGGTTAAATTAATCTCCTTCATTGTATTAACTCACTTTTACCAGTTCAATGAACTTAAAATTTTAAGGCAACCAGGTTACTTACTTTTTTAAGTTAAACCAACAATATTTTTTTACAGTGAATCACATTCATGAAATCAGAAATGAACATCGTCACTAGTGACATTAGAATTATTGATATCAATAATGAACGGTTTTACTAGCTGATATCAAGAACAGACCAGTAACCACTTAATTATTGATATAAAAAATTACTAGTACGAATTGTGTTTCTGATATGAATTTATAGTGAGCTAAACTACCAAATCAATTCTTGAAATCAACACTTGAATTTGAATGGCAGCCTATGGTGACATTTAATAGTGAAAAGATATCAAGATTTATAGTTGTCACTAGTTTTTTAATCGAATTCTTGAATTCTCAACAGTGACGTCATTGTTGATATCAAGAATTTACATGTTTACTAGTAGAAATTAAATTGTTAATATCACAAATTCATATCCTGTGAATGATTAAAAGGACATTAATGCTCTGTTCAATGACAGAAAATGTGCATGGTGTGCATGTTGAGTTTGTAATTTCTTACCATGTCGAAAAACAGACTGAGTGAAGTCTGAAAATATATGTTGCGTGATTTGAATATTACTGAGAGCTTTTTAGGCAGCCTGGTTTATTCTACAAACATATCCAAACTAATTTTCAGTTGGGTACCGTCATCATCATCACACTCTAAACAATGCTGGGTTGTTTTAACCCAAATTTGGCTCAAATATGGGCAAACCCAAATGTTGGGTTAAAAATGTAATTTAAAAACTTTCACTTTCAACTGTACATGTTTAACCCGACATTTGGGTTTGTCCATATTTGACCCAAATTTGGATGGAAACAACCCTGTGACCCTGTGATCCATAAGTTCATATCTTTCATGTTTCAGATCTGCGTACAGACCCACGGTGAGAGACATAGACTACAGGGTTCTCCTTCGCTTCCCACAGAAAGTCAGGAACATGGGAACGACTGACTTTCTGCCGGTCAAACCCAGACATCAGTGGGAGTGGCACAGCTGTCATCAGTGAGTTTGAGGAATACTTCTTATATTATTAAAAAATGGTACTAAAATCTCCTTTAATGTTGTACAATCACAGCAATTCATGCAAATTGCTTTCATAAAGTTGGGGCTACTGCTATATAAAATACAGTAATGTTCAATAAAAAGTTACATTTCTTAGTATTAAAAATCAGAATAAACAGCGCAACAGTTCATTTCAGAATTTAGAATCGGAACCATTTGATTTATACGTTTTATGTGATGCATTTAAATTGCTTTTTATAAATTATGATAAAATCATAGTACTAAAACCCCCTCCAATAACTTAAGAGCAACAGCAAAATTATAAAATATATTAAAAGTTCAATAAAAAGTTTTGTTGACTAGTTTAAAAAATGAACAGCAATATACTAGCCTATGTAATATAGTTCTTTTTACACCACTTCTCGTGCAGTTACAATTTAGAATCGGAACTGTTTGTTTTAACAAATGTATGTGAGTGATGCATATGTGTGTTATAAAATTGATTTGAGTTAATACATATTGATTTTATAAAATGTATGCAAATGATGCATTATGTAAGTGATGCATATCGGGTTTAAAAAGTGTATGTGAGGGATGCATTATGTGAGTGATGCATATCTGTATTATAAAATGTATATCAGTGATGCATATCGGTTTTCTAAAATGTATGCAAGTGATGCATTATGTAAGTGATGCATATCGGTTTTCTAAAATGCAAATCAGTGATGCATATCGGTTTTCTAAAATGTAAATCAGTGATGCATATCGGTTTTCTAAAATGTATGCAAGTGATGCATTATGTAAGTGATGCATATCGGTTTTCTAAAATGTAAATCAGTGATGCATATCGGTGTTAAAAAATGTATATCAATGATGCATATCGGTTTTCTAAAATGTAGATCAATGATGCATATCGGTTTTCTAAAATGTATGCAAGTGATGCATTATGTAAGTGATGCATATCGGTTTTCTAAAATGTAAATCAGTGATGCATATCGGTTTTCTAAAATGTAGATCAATAATGCATATCGGTGTTAAAAAATCTATATCAGTGATGCATATCGGTTTTCTAAAATGTAGATCAATGATGCATATCGGTTTTCTAAGATGTATGCAAGTGATGCATTATGTGAGTGATGCATATCGGTTTTCTAAAATGTATGCAAGTGATGCATTATGTAAGTGATGCATATCGGTTTTCTAAAATGTAGATCAATGATGCATATCGGTTTTATAAAATGTATATCAGTGATGCAAATCGGTTTTGTAAAATGTATGTGAGTGATGCATTACTTAAGTGATGCAATATTGTTTTCTGAAATGTCGTTTTCATTATTCCTTATGAAAATGCACTTGTGTAAAGTACATTATTATCAGACTCACGTTGAATCCCACATGCAGGCACTATCACAGCATGGATGCATTCAGTAACTACGATCTCCTGGACATCGGCACTGGACGGAAGGTCGCTGAGGGACACAAGGCCAGTTTCTGTCTGGAAGACACCGGCTGCGATCCGGGATTTCGCCGCAGATACGCATGCACTGCACACACACAGGTACAAACACACACCAGACCAGCAGCGCAACTATTGCAAACAATTCTGTCATAAGTGTGACCATGGACCACAAAAACAGTCCTGAGGGCAATTTTGTTAAATTGTGACGTATCAAAGCTGAATGAATAAGCTTTCCATTGATGTTAGGTTTGTTAAGGATAGGGCAATATTTGGTCAATATACAACTATTTGAGAGTGCAAAAAATCGAAATATTTAGAAAATCACCTTTAAAGTAAAAAAAATGCTGGGTTGTTTGAACCCAAATTTGGGTCAAATATGGACAAACACAAATGTTGTGTTAAAAATGGTCATATTTAGTGTTTGGGCTTAATAGAGATATCTTTGCTGTATTTTCAGGGTTTGAGCCCAGGCTGCCACGACACATACGCTGCCAACATCGACTGCCAATGGATCGACATCACAGACGTCGCTCCTGGGAACTACATTCTCAAGGTATGATGTGTTTTGAGAAAAGACGATGCTGACGTTATGGCATTTCTGAACCGGACCCTGTTTTCCTGCACAGGTCACTGTCAATCCAGACTACCTGGTGCCCGAGTCGGACTTCTCCAATAACGTTGTGCGGTGTGAGGTCATTTACACTGGCATTTACATCCAAACAAGAAACTGCATCATAACTGGGTGAGAAAGTGTGTTTTTGTATTGTATTGCTGCACATTAATATTGCAATAATCCACTACATGTATTTCTTTCTCACTGTTCCCACAGGAGTTAAAGCCCTCGGTTCGGGTCAACAAGATGATTGTGTTTAAAGGCCTATATAATAGGTTTAACTATAATAATTTAACTTGAAACATTCCTTATAGATGTTGGAATAATATTTAATGACAAATGTACTGTATCTATTTTATACGAGTTGGCGAGTGTTTTTGTGATGTTTGCATTTTAAGAGAATGTCTTTTTGCAACATGAATATTGTTAGTAGTATTTTGCTTTTTAGCGTTCGTATTTATTACACAAATTATAAAAAATATGCACATTTACTTATACTAGCTATGATATTGAGGGACGTTTTGTGTTTTTATTGGATGGTGAATTCCCAGTGGTCGAGTGTTTTCCTCCTCTAGTGTAAAATACACACTCGGGTTTCCAGGTGTCCTTCGATATTTCTGTGCAACATCTTGAAAGACTTTGCTGCGTGTTTCCTTTGTCTTTGCCATGATTATAAGAATCGTTCCAGAAATCCCGGACTTGGATGGACGAAGTCGTTTGTGGCTTGATATGCAATAAACAGAAATGGAGAGAATGTAATACAGAAAATGGATTGTGGTTCTTTTCTAAACTCCTTCTTCATTAAATCACGGGTTCAGTCAATACAGTAAAGTTCAAATGAGCTATCAGGAGAAATGTTTAAACAGGAATGAAGGCATTATTGAAGTGTAGATGTGGGATGAGAGCCGAGACTGAGCCAAAGACATCAGAGTCTGAGAGCTTAAAATTCAACTCTGTCGAACTATTGGGTGAAAGTCTTCATGGTTGGGAGATTATGACTTTGGAACAAATGTAGTTTATATTTTTAATAAACATCCTAATGGGGCACTTTGTCATTTTCAGCTTTTTATTTTTCATGCTTGAGATGAAAACTGAATATTGTTTGCATTTGTCAGCATTTTCTCCCTCTTGATTCTATTTTGGACTGATTATAATAGGATTTAGCTACATGCATTTCACACATTATTTTACCTCCTTTGAAGACAAGCAACTGTGCATGCAGAAGGCAATCCCAGAATGCATTTCGACTCATTAAAAAAATCCATAAATGGTGGACAAGGTGAGAGCGATGTTAATTATGTGAGTGTAATTTCTTACGATCCTATAGGCCTACGTATCTCATTAATAATGAATACTTTAATTATGTGTTTCACGAAATAGTTAACCCTGCCTGGGTCATTCTAAACACTGGGTTAAGAGAATCCTGGGCGTCAAGTTTGTTATTGCTAATAATTTTCAAGGGGTTGTCAAGGTTTTAATATGTGACCTATAACCCTGAGTTAACGTCCTTGTTTACATATTTGCGGTGTCAGCGTCATTGATTGGAAGAACGCGGCACGAGACCTGATTAGCCTGCAAAGGCTAGCATAGGCTACTAAACTTTTCGGACTATAGAGGTAAGAGAATGAAATCATATTTTCCTTTTACTTAATTTTACGCGTTTTCGGTCACCATTTTTCTCCTCAAATGCTGAACCTATCGTTTGTACAACAATTTCCGTGACTGACTGTGAATATGAGCCACATAAAGCTTCACAGAAAACAGCATAACATGGATAAGACGTTTTTTGTTACTTGTAAATCCACAAAAAATGCTATTTTAAATTTTTTTTTTTTGAAATATGTGTATTCAAAAACTCGTTTTACTCAAAAACTGCAAGAAAATCAAAGCCCTAAAGTTCTGTTCAAAATTTTAGCCTGATATCGCAACAAAATGAGCTTTCGGTAAGACTTTATTTGGCCGTAGTACCGAACACTTCCACTCGATGAAATTCGTCTCCCATTCATTTTCAAAAATGTAGTTAATTTTGAGTGTGACTTTCCCCCGAGTATATTCCCCTCTGTCAGTAATTTCTCTCCCTCATGTTCATCTTCAGAACACAAATTAAGATATTTCTGATTTAAATCTGAGAGTTGGATCACTCCTCCATAGGCTTCCAAGGGATCGAAACTTAACGGCCCAGAAAAGTTATTAAAGACATCGTTAAAATAGCCCGAGTGACTACAGCGGCTCAACCTTAAGTTAATCAAGCGACGAGAACACTCTTTGTGCGCTTAAAAAACAAACAAACAAAAACTATTCCTTTCCTTCCCTGTGGGCCTCGAGATTTCACGTAGCGTAACAGCGCAGCGCTTCTGTGTTGTACGTCACACGTAAGGCCGACGCTTGCCATGTGTGTGATGCGTGTGACGTACAACACAGAAGCGATGCGCAGTTACACTCTCCTCACTTGATCATCTTAAAGATAGAGTCACTGTAGTCACTTGGACTATTTTAACGATGTCTTTAACTTTTCTGGGTCGGCAAGTTTCGATTTTTAGAAGCCTATCCAGCCCTTTAACCCTTTGAATCATGTCTGTGTGTTTGTGTGTTCACATTTACACAAAACATTTAACATTAAGTTTGGTAGCCTAGCCTACCGATGAAGTAAAAAAATAAAAAACATAAAATGTTCACCCTAACCGACCAGCACCAGAGGGTTAAAGCAACACCAAGTGACTTTTCCTCTGCGTTCACCCTACAGGTTGGAAGGGGAATTGTCCATTAAATAGCCGACTGTCGCACGTGCGCTCGCCGTTTATCAACACTGGCTTTGGAATGAACGATGTCCACAGACAAGGTAGAGTATGTTGCATGATTTCATGAAAGTATGATGTATTGCGACATGAGAAACGAAGAAAAACAAAATAATGACTATTATAACGCTTGACGTAAAGCAAATCAAATTTGTAGTTTTCTTATGTCTCATTAGAACTACAGAAACTGGCATTCTTACATAGCGTGGTTATAGCGTGCCTTTCACACTGTCACAACTGTCAAGACTGTTGAAACTTTTTTGGAAACATTATTTTAAGGTAAAAAATCGTACGTAGTGTTGCTTTAACTGTCACGTGCGTCCCTGTAGTTTGCGCCTGGCCTCGGTGTGATCTGATCAGCTTTCTCCAGGATCTCGGCTTGTTTACTGACACTGAGCTGTGAGGGACGGTTATGAAACTCTCTGGCCATGTGTCTGTCTGCCGGCACTGAATGAATGAGTCTCTCTTCTGTCCACTCTTGCAGATTCAGATGCAGATATTTTTCCTTGGTCTTTGCAAACATGATATAGGAAGTGAGACATGGATGCTTTATTTCACATTTTTTAATCTGTACAGTCTGTGTTCATGACAGCAGACAGCAGCTCATACATAGAGATGTTTAAAATCAATCTCCTAATGTGGGGAAAATATATATTTTTATATATATACTGTATGTATATATGCCTTTGAGTGACAGTCTAAATTACTTTAATGGAGACATGCACACACATGTAAATATACTGTATAAATGTCTCCTTTAAAGAAATTTAGACTGCTATACATTCGAAGGTTTGGGGGTCGGTGTAGGATTTTGAAATGTTTTTAGTCTCTTCTGCTCACCAAGGCTGAGTGAAAAATTGTGAAATATTATTAGAGTTTCAAATAGCTAGTTTTCTATTTAAATATATTTTAAAATGTAATTTATTCCTGTGATCAAAGCTGTGTTTTCATTCAGTGTCACATGATCCTTCAGAAGTCATTATAATATGATGATTTGCTGCTCAAGAAACATTTCTGATTATTATCGATGTTGAAATCAGTTGTGCTGCTTAATATGTTTGTGGAAACCATTTTTTTTAGGATTCTTTGATAGAAACAGCATTTAGTTGAATATTTTGTAACATTATCTTCCCAAAAAACACCGAAACGTTTGACGAGTTTAGCGTGCATTGCTTGTTATTGCAGTTAGGTGCTATTATTATGCCAAAGATTATTAAAGATAAATCCCAGAACTCTCCCTAAATCTGATTTACTCTTGTCAAAAACCATTTCTAATTAAAATCCCAATGGATTCTTTGATAGAAACAGCATTTAGTTGAATATTTTAGTTGAACATCATCTTCCCAAAAAACACCGAAACGTTTGAAGAGTTTAGCGTTCATTACTTGTTATTATTAAAGATAAATCCCAGAACTATTTTTTTTACTATTGGGATATTATAATTAATATCCCAATTATTAATGGGTTTAAAGATCTCAGAGTGTAATATTATTCTCATTGGGTCAGTGTTATTCATTGTAAAATCCTTCAGGG